TCACCAAGGAGGATATTCAAGCGGCCAACAAACATATGAAGAAATGCTCACGATCATTAGCTATTAGAGAGATGCAAATCAAAACAATAGTGAGATACCATCTCACCCCAGCACTGACAGCAAGGTTCAACGAGACAGAAAATAACAAATACTGGCGGGGATGTGGAGAGATTGGGACTCTCATACACTGCTGGTGGGGCTGTGAAGTGATACAACCACTGTGGAAAGCAGTATGGCCATTCTTTAGAAAGCTGGAATTGGAGATACCATTTGACCCAGCAATCCTATTACTAGGTGTATATCCTAAAGAGGTGAGAGCCAGGACAGAAACAGATATATGCACACCCATGTTCATCATAGCACTATTTACAATAGCAAAAAGATGGAAACAACCTATGTGCCTGTCAGCAGAAGAATGGGTAACCAAACCATGGTACATACATACAATGGAATGCTATGCAGTACCCAAGAATAATTTAGAGTCTGCAAAACACCGCGTAACAGGGATGAACTTGGAGGACACTATGCTGAGTGAAATACATCACTCACAGAAGGACAAATACAGTATTTGTAAAATACTGTATTCATTATTGTAAAAAGTCAAGGAAAGTTTTATATATGGAAGGAAACATTCTTTGTTGGAGGGGAGGGGAGGGAACATGCAAAAAAAAAAAAGCACTGACCCATGTCACTTTAGTTTTGTGTATTTCATTGTACATAAATTGTATTTCAATAAAATGCATTAAAAAATTAACAAAATTTATTTTAAAGTAATCCAAATGTAAATTTTCAATCTCATTAAAACTCATTTTTAGTAAGTAATAAAATGATTTAGATGCCATATTAGAGAGGGAAATCTAATTATATCATTTCACAGGTGAGAAAACTGGGGTCCAGAAAAAGTTTTGCTGCAGCAAAGGCAACTAAGTGTACTAACCATCCATCTGATGCTAGGTAATCCATGGTAATGAGCAACTAGTATGAAATAATATTGCTAATCAAAAATCAGTTAATTAAAACTAAAAAACAACCATCACCAATTTAAACCATTACCTATATTCTTCTCCACTACAAGGTACACTCAGAATATTAAGGTGAAAACTAATTAGAAAATAGAAGTATTTGCTAATCAACTGTCAAATAAAAGTCTTTACAGACAGCAAATTTTCCTCACTGATCAATCCGATCCCCTTTTAAGATGTGTGTGGGGGCTATAATTATGGTTCAGGACTGGATACCCTCAGTGATCTTGGTGTTCATTCTTTAAAGTGGTATAGAAATATCAATATAAACAGTGTTAGTGCAAAGTGTGTACACATAGGAGTTTAAATAGGAAATCATTAATTCACTGTTTTGAGATACCATCCACATACCATAAAATTCATCCTTTAAAACTATCTAATTCAGTGATTTTTTTTTAGCATATTCACAAAACTGTGCAACTATCATCACTATGTAATTCTAAAACATACTCATTACTTGAGTCTGCCCCAGGCTTACAGGTGAGGAGAGACAACGCAGGGACGCCAGAGTAGCAGGCCGGAAGAACAGGGAAGGGGATAAAAGCCTTGAACCCGGACAGAAGAGCAATCAGCCGAAGGGATTAGGTGAGGAGGGGAAACTCAGGCCCGCCCAGAGTAGCAGGCCAGAAAAGCAGGAGAAAGGGGATAAAAGCCTTGAACCCGGACAGAAGAGCAGTCAGCCCCAGGGTTACAGGTGAGGAGAGACA